ATATATATATATATATATATATATATATATATATATATATATATATATATATATATATATATATATGAAGTCAATTAATTTCAGTGTATTTAAGAATGATGCACATTTGCTTTGCATCATATTACGAATTCATCTGAATCTTATTCGAATTCCGTTATTATCATTTTTATTGTTATTATCATTTTTATTACTCTTATTATCATTACTATTTTTTTATCAATTGTTATTATTATTAGTTGTTATTATTACAATCATTATCATTATTCTTGTTATTATAATTATCGTAATTTTCATCATCCTTGTTATCATTATCAGCATTATGATTATTATCATTATCAGCATTATGATTATCATTATCATTATGATTATTATCATTATTATCAGCATTATTACTGTCATCGTTCTTCGAGGCAAGAACACTGCACTGAAGTAATCAGACCATCAGTTTTTGCACATTTATTATTTTCACGATTATCTGAGGGGGGAGGTTAGGAACAAAAGTAGGAAGGGAAGAAGAAAGGAAAAAAGAAAGAGGAAGTGAGACAGGAAGGAGATGTCGTAAAGAGAAAAGAGAGATGGGAAAGAGTAAACAGGGGAAACGGACGTAGAGAGGAAAGAGAAATGGGAACGAGTAAACAGAGGGGAAACAGACATAAAGAGGAAAGAGTAATAGGTAAGGAGTAAGGGAGGGGGAGGTATTATCATCATTACAATTATTGTTATTGTTATTATCACTATTTTCATCATTATTATCATTATTGCTGTTACCACTATCATTATTATGTTTCTATTATTATTATCATCACCATTATCATTGTTATTGTTATTACGTTATCACTATTGAGTACAATCATCATTACTGTTGCTGGTATCATCATTGTTATTGTTATCATAATTACCATTATCATTATCATATTATTACCATCCATATTATCATTACTATTATTACTATCATTATTTATCATTATCAGTACTGCCATCATCATTATTATTATTACCGTTATCATTAATATTAGTATTATTATTAGTAGTAGCAGTATTAGTGCTATTGTTATCATCATCATAATCATTATTGATGATAATGATAATTATTATTATTGATATTATTACAATCATTATTATTATCATTATCATGATCATTATGGTTATTACCATTATTGTTGGTGTTGCTGTTATCATTATATTTATCATCATTAAGGAAGACAACACGATATATGTTTAAGATTTACCTCTTTTAAGAATTACGAAATAAAAAGCTAATATTTGGCTTTGAATATTTGACATTTTGCATTCTTCTCGATATATATATATATTTTTTTTTTTTTTACAAACACACCAGTAGCAATTTAATCTGAGCTCTTGATTAATTTCTTGTAACCGGGCTTTAGATTTCTCAGTGACAAGTTTTTCTGAGATACGAACCCATTCTGCTGTTAGGACTTCCGTGGAACAAAATATAAAGATCCAGTCATGCATTTGCTCGTCGAAAAGGAAATAGTCAAATTCCTACCGCTTTCTCAATAGACTTAATCCTCTATGAGTCAATTTCTGATCTAAACCAAGTATGTTTAGTGAGAGTCATTTGAACCACAATATCGTTATGAAATGAGAGTTCCCTTTATGTTAATATTATTTTAAAGTATCGTAAAATATATGAAGTAATGAATAAACATTAAGATTTTTACTAAGCAATTTTCAAACGAGTTGAAAAGCTTTAAAAGTATATGAGTTACCCGTCCAAATGTACTCGCGTATCTCGTTTTCTTTGCGCGCACGTGGAAGTTTGGTGACGCTGCGCTAAAGATGACTAGTTCAGTAGGTCGACAACCATCGTAGAGAGAGTATATCAGTGAGTGTCTCCGATTTGGTCTATGGAGAAAACAGGGCATGCTCTGATTTTTTTCTTTTGGTGTCTCATGTTGTGAATCTTTCTACTCGGTGTTGATACATCATGCTGTGCAGTGATTTTTTCATGGTTCTTAATATATACAGTTGTTGTGGGCATTAATACACAATATCAGCTCGGTGCATAGATATACAAATGCACTTAGTCGAGAGTGCAAGGATAAGGTTTGTGATTTGTTACATAATTTAGTTATGATTTATTTATTTATTGATCATCATCGTTGTAATTTATATTATCATCAACTGCTTGTTCTTGCAATGATTATGATTTGGTAATCAGTTATATCGAAGTAATTACCAATTTGCTCGCTATTGTTTCTAAATATAAATACTTTATTAGTTGTGATAGGGGAAGTCACTGCGGTTTAATCGATGATGTTTACTTTTATTTGGGTTTTCATTGTGATTGTTATTGTTTTCATTATCATTGTTGTGGGTTGTTAATGTTATTGATTTTAGAATTATCGTCACCATCACCATAATCTTTTGTTATTGTCGTTATTTCATCATCTTATACCATTGTCTAGTAGTGATTACTGTTATTATCACTATCAATATTACCCTCATTATGATCATCAATTATCGATTTTAATGCTGTTATTGACATGATTATGATTACACTCGTCATGGACCCAATTACAGTTTTATTTTAATTGTATAAGACGCCACCAATGTAAGTGAAATTGCCTTTAATAATATTAGTGTGTGTGTGTGTGTGTGTGTGTGTGTGTGTGTGTGGTGTGTGTGTGTGTGTGTGTACCCGCAATCATGTTATAGTGTATACGTACCTATGTTGGGAGAGGAGAGCAGACGTACACAGAGAAAGCGAGAGAGCCCGGCGGCGACCCGGGACGAACCGAGCCCGAATGCAGTTACATAACCCTTTCCTTTCCGAGAAGCGCCTCGCCCTCGGCCTGGGGGAGCGGAGGCTGCTCCCGACGTTCCAGCGAGACGCGGGCGGGACCTCGGGCAGGCGTTGTCAAGGCCGCGTCGTCCTATTTTGGGGCGTTTTTCCTCCTTCCTCTGTGCCCCTTGGCGTTGCTCTGCCCGCGTTTCGTGCTTGAGGGAATGTTTCTCTGTTTTTTCTTCTCTCTTTCTATTTTCTATTCTCTTTCTGTGTAGTATGTATATTTACATACCTTCGCACATGCATACTTACATCATATATATATATATATATATATATATATATATATATATATATATATATATATATTATGTATATATATATATGTATGTATGATTATGTATAACCATATATATGCATATATGCATGTGTGTCTGTGTTAGTATAACGATGGTGGAAGACCGCTAAGCAAAAAAAATGGGGTCACTGACCTCCGAGATCAGAAAAAAATATAGAAATCCTTGTCATATTTCTATTACTTATTCATAAAACGCAGTATATAAGGGATAATTTTCCATTAACGCCACGCAAACCTCGCGCATTAACAAAAACTGGAATGCGGAAGGGATGCGGATCTGAAACTCTGTGGTCACCTTTCCTCGCTTCTGGCGTATGAGTGTGTGCGCGCGCGCACACACTCATATTATTGTGTGTATATATTGTATATATGTGGATATATATATATATACATATATATATATATATATATATGTGTGTGTTTATGTGCATACACGTCTATGTATATAGATTTAAGAAATAACTAAATGAATACACACACACGCACACACACACACACACACACACACACACACACACACACACACACACACACACACACACACACACACACACACAACACACACACACACACACACACACACACATATATATATATATATATATATATATATATATATATATAAATAATATGTAGGTACGCATATATACATTTATACATATACGTACACATATATGTATTTATTTATCAATTTATCCATCAATTTATTTTTCATGTGTTTTTTCACTCATCCATTTTTCCCCGTGTCTCGGCGTCCTCCCAGACCGAGTCCCACCACCATGAAGGCGCTACGACTGGTCCCGGCGCTGCTGTTGCTGTGGGCGGGCGGGGCGAAGGCAGCCTCGTGTCCCAACCTCCAGCTGATGAAGAATTTCTCCGTCGATAAGGTCGGTTCTTGGATCCATGATAACGGTATTTTTTTCCTTTTTAGATCTGTAGTAGCGCATGTGTGGGGAATGGGGGGAAGTAAATGGGGAAGGTATTTGCCCTGTCGTATGATATTGAAGTTAGGGATGTAAATGCATTTATTGGTATTGACGGAAATGGTAGATGGACTTGCGATATGAAAATAGTAAAACCTTATAATGAATATAGATTAGGTATATTCTTCATTATATTTTGCTTTTTCACCGTATTCATATAACTTATTCTTGGTCGTCAGTGAAAAGGATCATTGTAGCTGACGGTATTTCTTGTATAATTACGAACTTATCGCAATATGTGTTATGCCTAAATTCACAGACATGCAATATGTTTCTAAAGTCTTGCGTCGCATCCTAGACCAGCTTTCTCCTTATCAGAATCTTTTTCGAGAAAGTCCATTCAAGGTAGGAGCTGTCGGCTGGCGGCGCTCGCACGGACAGAGACAACAGCCTGCCTCCTGGCGCCTCCTGGTGGCTATGAACCGCCAACCACGATGTTTCATTCTCGCTAATACCGAAATTCGCATTAGAATAAAAAAATGAAAATAAGAGAGAGAGGGAGGGAGGGAGAGAGGAAAAGAAAGAGAAAGAGGAATAGAAAAAGAAAGTAAGAGAGAGAGAGAGAAAAAAAAAACGCAACCATTGTTTTTTTTTCCTTCAACTTTTAAAGCCCGCCCAGTTTGGCGGGAAAATCTCGAACGTGGTGACCATGATTCCCGAAGGTATACGAATCATAAAGTCGAAGTTCCTTATACTTTCGGTCATCGCATTAGTACGACTGAAAAAAAAATCAAAAGTTATGCAGGTTAACGTACGATTACACATATTCATGGCTGGCCGTGCTGGTGCATAATTGGCAAATAGAAATTCGTATTTCTTGTGAAATATAAATCTAGGTTTATGGCATATTTGCACACCTATATTTCCCAGTCACTTTCTAGCTTAATAATTTCATAATGTTAAACACCTGAGTCACTTTTCTTTTTTTTTTTTTTTTTTTGTAAGCGTTCTTGCTACGCTAAGCTACGTGGATATATATATATATTCGTTTTTATATGACTGAGTACACACGGTCACATTAACTGTTATAAATGCTATTTTAACGCTGTCGCACACACGCACACACACACACACACACACACACGTAAATTTACACATATATCTGTGTACATATACATATGTGTACACACACACATACACACATACACATGCAAAATAAAAGGAACAAACAAAAAAGATAATACCACAAAAAAATAAATAACACAATACAAATAAAAGCTAACACGCCCCCCCCTTCGCACCGCAGTTCCTGGGCGTGTGGTACATGGTCCAGGCGGAGGACAACATCTTCCAGACGCTGAAGAGCTGCCTGGCGAGCACCTTCACGCTCCTCGCCGAAAACAAGATCGAGGTGAATTCGAAGGGCTTGGACTCCTCGGGCGCGCCGGCCACCACGCAGTCCACCATGGAAGTCGACCCCGAGAACCCGGCTCATATGGTGACGGATTTCGTTCCCCGGAGGTGAGTGGGGGAGTGGAGAGAGGGAAGGGGAGAGGGGAGAGGCCTGAGGGATGGGGAGAGGGGAGAGGCCTGAGGGATGGGGAGAGGGGAGAGGCCTGAGGGAAGGGGAGAGGGAGGGAGGGGGAGGGAAGGAGAGGGATGGGGTGAGGGGAGGGCCGAGGGAGGGGGGGGAGGGGGAGGGGGCGAAGGGGAGGGAAAGGAGGGATGGGGGAGGGCGAGGGGAGAGGCCTGAGGGATGGGGAGAGGGGAGAGGCCTGAGGGAAGGGGAGAGGGGAGAGGCCTGGGGAAGGGAGAGGGGAGAGGCCTGGGATGGGGAGAGGGAGAGGGGACTGGGGAGAGGCCTGAGGGAAGGAGAGGGATGGGAGAGGGGCGAGGGAAGAGAGGGAAGGGGAGAGGGCGAGGGAAGGAGAGGGATGGGGAGAGGGACGAGGGGGAGGGATGGGGGAGAAGGGGCGAGGGGGAGGGAAGGGGAGAGGGGTGAGGGTGTAAAAGGGAGAGGGGCGAAGGAGAGGGAAGGAGTGAGGGTGAGGGTGAAAAGAAGGGGAGAGGGAGGGAAGGGAAGAGGACTGAAGAAGAGGCAAGGAGAGAGAAGCGAGGGTGAAAAAAGGGGAGGGGAGAGGAAGAGAAAAGCACGGAAGGTGGGGAAGAAGAGGAGTGAGAGAGCTGGAAAGACGGGAATCGAGACACACACCGTTCACCTTCTCAACTTGACCTTTTTTTTTTAATCTTATTCCCCCAGTTAAACCTCCCTTCGATATCCTGGACACAGACTACGCCAACTACGCGTGTGTCCATTCCTGCATCTCCGTGGTTGGCTTCAAAACCGAATTCATCTTCGTATACGCGAGGAATCGAACGCTGGAGACGAAGCTGGTGGAACACTGTCGCAAGCTTTTCGAGGTGAGTCTGGTTGTGTAGGTCCGGGCTGGCATTAAGGGTCATCGGGCCCGTAATCTACCTCTCTCTCTCTCTCTATCTAATCTATCTATCTATCTATCTATTCTCTCTCTCTCACTCTCTATCTCATATCTCTCTCTCTCGTCTCTCTCTCTCTCTCCTCTCTCTCTTCTCTCTCTCTCTCTCTCTCTCTCTCTCTCTCTCTCTCTCTCTCTCTCTCTCTCTCTCTCTGTGTGTGTGTGTGTGTGTGTGTGTGTTGTGTGTGTGTTGTGTGTGTGTGTGTGTGTGTGTGTGTGTGTGCATGCATTTGAGTGAGAGAGAGAGAGAGAGAGAGAGAGAGAGAGAGAGAGAGAGAGAGAGAGAGAGAGTGTGGTGTGTTGTGTGTGTGTGATGCATTTGAGTGAGAGAGAGAGAGAGAGAGAGAGAGACCAGAGTGAGAGAGAGAGAGAGAGAGAGAGAGAGAGAGAGAGAGAGAGAGAGAGAGAGAGAGAGAGAGAGAGAGAGAGAGAGAGAGAGAGAGAGAGAGAGAGAGAGAGAGAGAGAGAGAGAGAGAGAGAGAGAGAGAGAGAGAGAGAGAGAGAGAGAGGAGAGAGAGAGGAGAGAGAGAGAGAGAGAGAGAGAGTTCGTGTGTGTGTGAGTGAATGGCAATGAACACACTTTACATCATCATTCTGACGCATAACACATTTGCATGAATTCGGTTCTGCCGCATTAGCATTCTCTCTTCAACTGTGACTCGGATGAATAGGAAAGGTATTACATTACACGCGCCAAGAAAAGAATCCACTTTCACGCATGCTATCACTGTTTAATCAAGTTTAGCAGGCTAGATTACCTATCAGTTCTGCGGTTTACAAGTTCATACTTTTGATTCCATACATTTTGCCAAAGTATTTGATGTATATTATAACCTTCATTTCTTTCTGATTGATGTATTTAATGTATATTATATTCATTTCTTTCTGATTGATGTTGATCAACTGCGTCAGTTTTTGAGTTCGTGTATTAATTTCAACTATGCCTCTACACAGTTGTCATTCTTACCAAACAATTTAGAACTTTGTTTTGTTAAGGTACAGTGTACAGTTTTCATCTGTTGTATTTTCATCTCGTGTAATGTCATAAGTATTTAATATATCCCGGCATCTTTTTTTTATGAAAATGCTGTGTGTTGTTAAAAATAATAATGTCAATTCCTTTTCAGAGTAATGGGCTCAGTACCACAAACCTGGTGGATGTGCCTCAGAGCAACTGTGAACGTTCTGAACTCTGACTAAATGTAGTGGCCTGTTCTGGACTATGAGGATAAAATAAAATGAAAAAAAAGTATTATTTTTTCATTATCAATCTAAACCCAATAAAGTCAATGGTTAATGGTTAAGATAAATGTGCTAGACATCTAAGGTCATATAGCACTATAGGAAGGTATAGTAAACGGGGATGTCAGGTGATAGTTGCTATGTGTCAACTATCTAGAGTAGTGTTGAAAGGTTGAAGATGAGGGAAAAGGTTATGGTGGTTTAGTTAAGGGAGCTAGATCAAGTGAAGGATATTTATGCGTCTGAGGAAGGAGATCAGGTTGTCAAGGCAGAAGCTGTGGGATTCTGTAAGGATGTCTGATATGTTGGGAGGTCGGTGAAGGGAGGATAGGTGTGGAAAAGCAGAGGTACGTGCTGTATTAAAGCGTGGACAGGGCAAGAGAATGTGTGGGACTGAAAGAGGGACGTTACATAGAGGACATAGGGGCGGGTCTGAGCGTGACATTAGATAGGCATGTGTTAGGCGAGTGTGGCCAATACGTAAGCGTGCGAGGGCCGTCTCCCAACGTCTGTTTTTGTGAAATGGAGCTGACCAAGAGGAGATTGATGGTTTTACGGTATGTAATTTATTGTTGTGGAGTCTTGACCAAAAAGATTGCCATCGGGTATACAAGAAGGTTTTAAAGTGGGGGTAGTAATCTGTAGCTGGAATATGTGAGAAGCGTAGTTGAGGTGATGTGGACATTGCGGCATAGCGTGCAAGAATATCTGCCTGTTCATTGCCAGAGATTCCAACATGGCTGGGTACCCAGCAAAATCTGACAGATTTGTGACGTGTGGATAGATAGAACAACCAGTTCTGGATCTTACAGACAAGGGGATTGGTCGAGTGCATAGACTTAATGATGGTTAAAGAGTTACGGGAGTCAGTAAAAATAGTAAAAGAGGAAGAGGAGGAGGAGTATATGCGTCTTAAGGCAAAAAGGAGTGCATATAATTATGTAGTAAGGACACTAGATTCAGGAGGGAGAGTGTATTTGAAAGTGCAATTTGGAATGTTACTACGAATCCAGCTCCTGAGATGGATTTGGAACCGTCAGTGTAAACATGAATGCTGGAGGAATGAATGGAGACATGATCAAGGAAATGAGTGAGAAGGATAGAGGGGGGGATATCTGATTTTGGTGGGTCAGGGAAAACTGAGGAGCAAATACAGGGGTTAGGTATAATAAGCCATGGAGGAATGGAATGGACAGAAAGTGGGAGAGGTCGGAGGTGAGGAAAGGGGGAATGGGAGAGGAGGGTATCCATGCGTACGGGGAGAGGAGTTGGTAAACGTGAAGAGGTAAAGGTATGAAGCAAGGATTGTGGAATAGTTAGTTTGGTAAGGAAAAATTGGTGAAATCGAGCATAGCATCGGAGAGAGAGAAGGGCTCGACGTCGAGAGAGGGACGGCATGCCAGATTCAGTATATAGGCTCTCAACTGGAGAGGAGCGGAAGGCGCCTAGGGCTAAGCGGAGACCGCTGTGGTGGATTGTATCAAGGCAAGAGGCAGAGGAGTAGATATGGCATCCATAATCTAGAGTGGAGAGAATCAAGGTAACATGAAGATGGAGGAGAGTTTTGCGATCTGAGCCCCAGGAGATATGTGAAAGAGTTTGTAAGATTCGGAGGCGGCGTTGAGCTTTTTCTTTGATGTACAAGATATGGTCTCGCCAGGACAATTTGGAATCAAATATAACGCCTAGGAATTTGCCAGAAGAACGGTATTGGAGTGGAGCGTTATATAAGAAGAGTGAGGACCGTACGTGAGCGAGAGAAAAGGATGGGGAAAGATTTGGAGGTAGAGAAGCGAAAGCCATGGTTGGTGGCCCAAGAAGTTACTGATGTTATTGCAGACTGTAGGAATTGACAGAGATCTGGTATAGATGTGCCAGATGCATAGATGGTTAAGTCATCAACATATAGTGATGCTCGGGCTCCTGGTGGTAGGACTGAGACTGTCATTTACAGCAAGAAGGAATAAAGTGGTACTAAGCACACGTCCTTGTGGGACGCCTTCGAATTGAGGAAAGGATGATGACGTGGAAGAGGCAATTTTGACCTGGAAAGTACGCTTAGAAAGGAAGGATTTAATGAAAACGCCCATGTTTCCACGTAAACCTAAGGACAATTGTTGGAGGATATGGTATCGCCATGTGGTATCATATGCTTTTTCTAGATCAAAGAATATGGCTAATACGGATTCATGGCGTGCAAATGCCGATGTAATGTATGTCTCGAAATGGGCAAGTGGGTCTGCTGTACTTAGGGCACGTCGGAAACCAAACTGGGAAGGGGAAAGGAGATTATGAGATTCAAGGTACCACATTAAACGGAAGTTAACCATTCGTTCTAGTAGTTTGCACAAGCAGCTAGTTAGAGCTATGGGGCGGTAATCTTGGGGTAGGGTACCTGATTTATTGGGTTTTAAGAAAGGTAGGATAAGAGCATCTCGCCAATGAGACGGAAAATTTCCTGACGTCCTTATGTGGTTGAAAATAGTTAAAAGGAAGGATAGAGATGAAGATGGGAAGTGTCGAAGCATACGATAGTGAATACCATCAGGGCCTTCATGACTGTTGCGGCACGACTGTAATGCAGCGTTGAGTTCAGAAGAGGAGGATAGGGTGAAGGTAATAGGGGTGCATTCCTTGATTGCTTTAATGGAAGAAAAGTGTTGGGAAAGGTGAGAGCCACTACTGACCTGGCTGAAATAGTTGCCCAGTTCATTAGCTACTTCAACAGGCTCAGAGACCAATAAAGTCAAGATGATGATGAAAGATAAAATTATGATTTTAAGGATACACAAACCAACATGTCAAAAATTCCCAGTTTTATTTTACATTGAGAAGCACACAGTGCCTATATTGCTTTACACAGATGCAGCCTGGATTCGCTAGGACAACCATATTCAACATCTCTCGCTGTTCCTCCAGATCCCAACAATATTTTTTATTAGTTTTTACAGTTACATAAACCTCTAATGTGCCCCATTTATAATACATAACAAATAGCACACAGTGCCCCCCCAAATCTTTGATATAAGAACCCATAAGTTAAAATGACAACCATTAACAAAAATATTCTTAACAATTTACCCCCCAAAAGAGGGAGAAAAAGGTACTTTTTAAAGAGCTGTTTTTCTTGAAACTCGTGATGCATCGCCCAGGTAGTACGTTCACCTTCAAGATTTCACAAGCCACACAACTCCACCTTACCCTTGCACTTCCTTGCCAATGATTCTCGGAGCACAGGTATTCCTTCACACAAGATGTTACTCTTCAATTCATAAGTTACTCAGTCACTAATAAATGTTGCTAATTGAACCCTTTGCAAAGGCTTTTCTCATTTGCTCGTAACTGCGTGCTTCATAAGTGCTTCATAGTAAAACGCAGTGGTTGTAATATCTTGCATTATGGCAATAATTAGTGACAGTGTTGTAAGGTGGATGAGATAGAAGCTTAAATTCAAAGTAATAGTTAATGGGGAAAATAATAATGAAAATAAAAGAAAAATATACAAAGATAAGATGTATATACATGTGTAACTATCAAACTCGGAAAATTTATGTACAGTCAGGTACAAATCTGTCAAGGTTGTACCATCAGCTAAATTTTCAGCTGTGACATCTGATGTCACATCCTCCACCAGTTCCCAACTCCTATCGGGAAAATCTTTTAAAAATCTAATTTCTTCAATCCATAAATGAATCTTGTGAAGTGAGCAACACATCTAAATTAGTCCCTTTAATACCCCCCCCAAGCCGTTAAGATGTCACACCAAAAGAATGTATCCGCACAATGGACAACCTAGCAAGCAACTTTTTTTTTTCCTTTTTTTTTTTTTTTTTTAATTATATGGATTTTCTTATAGAAAAATGCTCCATCAAACTGGAATTAAAGTGAGACTCCGAGTCATCTCTGTGAACCTTACCTATGTACATATTCATTATTTACAGAGCAGCAATTAAGCAAATCTCGAAGCCACGTATTCCCTAAGCGCAGAGGAGCCTTCTCTCGCAGGAAAGAAAAGATATTTTGGAAACTGCCAGCTGAGAGGAAGGGTAGCACAGGGTGGGGCTGGAAGGAAGGGAAGGTACTGTATCCATGTGTATTTCTTTGCAAAAGGGAGAGGGCATAGGAGTGGGGGAATGGGGAGGGGAAAGGAAGGAAGGAAGGAAGGGCAAGAAGGGGGAAATGGGGGGGGGGGGATAAGAGTCAGCGAAACAGAGCAACATGTTAGGGTTTACGGCATTCGTCCCCCATAGCCTTTTATCTATTAACACTTAAGCTCTAAGTCCTTTTCACTCAAAAAAAGAAAAAAAAAAAATCTATTACATTATTGAGAATTAAAAAAAAGTAAAACACTCAAGCCTGACAGAAGTAGTCCTAATCTTGTATCCTAACCTAGTATTATGCAGTGATGTTAACATTAAAAGGAGAAAAACAAAGTGAAAAACACTGAGGGAATTGAATTTAACTAAGGAGTCTGTTGCAACATAAGGAATATGATTCAACATTGCGAAAAAAGCTTCAGGGCTGGAGAAAATGTGTATCTACTTAGGTCAATGTATATGAATATTATATATGTCATATAAATCAAATATGCACATAAACTGCATGTTAATGTACATCCATACTTTCATATATATATATATATATATATATATATATATATATATATATATATATATATATATATATATATATATATATATATATATATATATATATATAATCACATATATACACATACACACACATTTACTCACTTTCTCTCACTCACACTCTCTCACACACACACACTCTCTCACACACACACATGCACACACGCACGCACGCATGCACGCACGCACGCACGCACGCACATTCACATATACTCTCTTCTCTTCTCTTCTAGCTCTCAAGCATGTACTTATGTATTCATATCCATGCACAAAATAGAATTAATTAAGCAAAGGTGTACATAAGAAATTAATGATCACATTTCTTGATTAGAAGATTTAATCCACTTGTAATCTGAGGTAAAATGGACTTATTAAAGTCTTCTGTTCCAATATGCCCCCAAGGCACAAAAACTGGCCTTAGCTGCCTAACTTCTTGACCAAAAACAAAAAATCTGGAATAGCTATTTTCCCAAAATCTTCCATTTCCTTAACAAAAAGAGAAAAACAATAACATAAAATAAAGGTTTCCAAAAAATACTAATAAAAAAATATTACCAATGATAATATTAGTGTTATCACAATGAATATAACTATAATTATCATATTAATAACAACAATGTCATAGATACAATTTTACTATTACTAGTGGAAAAGAACACCGATTTTAGTATTACAGTGATTTGAGTTCAAAATAAAGGTAGAGGAAAAAGGTCAGAAGTGTCGTCTATATACACAAAATAGAATGAACTTTACATAATAAAAAAAAAAAAAAAAGAAAAAAAAATAAAAAAAAAAAAAAAAAGACAATGGCATTTCCGACTCTCTTCTTTTCTTTCTTTTTCTTTTCGTAACTTGAGACTAACAAAATATCAACCCTGAACTCTAGAACACTCACACTCCTGCTGCAAAACTCCCTTTTCATATAAAAAGCATCACTCGATTATGGCCTAATTTTAAAAAAGGTAAATCCTAATCTCACAAAATATGTACCAGTATATGTACATTACTGTATGTATACAAGTGAGTGAGTGAGTGAGTGAGTGAGTGACACACACACATACACATACACATATATATACATATATATATATATATATATAATATATATATATATATATATATATATATATATATATATATAAGAGAGAGAGAGAGAGAGAGAGAGAGAGAGAGAGAGAGAGAGAGAGAGAGAGAGAGAGAGAGAGAGAGAGAGAGAGAGAGAGAGAGAGAGAGAGAGAGAGAGAGAGAGAGAGAGAGAGAGAGAGAGAGAGAGAGAGAGTGTGAGAGAGAGAGAGAGAGAGAGTGTGAGAGAGAGTGTGAGAGAGAGAGAGAGTGAGAGTGAGAGTGAGAGTGAGAGTGAGAGTGAGAGTGAGAGTGAGAGTGGTGTGCATGTAAGTAAATGTGTGTGTATGTGCATGTGCATGTGTACGTGTGTGTGTGTGGGTTGGTGTGTGGTGTTGGGTGTGGATGTGTGTGTGTTTGGGTGTGATGTGTGTGGTTTGGGTGTGTTGGTGGTTGGATGTGTGTGTGTGTGGGTGTGTACATGTGTGGGTGTGTGTGTGTGTGTACATGTGTGTGGGTGTGTGTGCATGGGTCTTTACTTGTTTATATACATACACATCTTTAGTTTACTTCCAATTTTCAATAACTTTTTTCCTCTTTGTAAATACTAACAATAAGGCTCCCTTATAACCTATCATGTTGACTCTGACATCTTTACAGAATGAACAGTGACCGACCTAAACGACTGTGGCAGTTATATCCGCTGGTTGGGAGCAGCCGCCAACAGGCAGCCACTCCTAATGCTTACCCAAATTTTTAAGAACTGGATTATTATTAATCTTTTTTTTTATTTCTTTTTATTTTCATTTTTTTTAATTAATGGCAGTTGGATCTGCTGGTTGTCTTAGAAAATGTAAGGAACACCCGCTACTTTACAGTGACTTGAATTAGGACTGCCCTCCTAGACTTGCAGCAAATTCTGTAAGGAAACAGGATAATGTTAGGAATACTTTCTTGGCATCTATACAAGTTCTAAAAAACTATCAGTAAAGGTGAGAAATATAATAAACAAGATATAGCAGAGTATACTCTTAAGAAAATTTAGCCGCTTCACAACCTATATGAAAATAACCTCAATGCTGCAGGCTCACATCAAGAGTAAAAAAATCTTTAGAGCAGTTGTACCCAAAATATTTGTAACCAAGTTCCAGCACCAGGAAAAGTTTCAAGGAAACATTTTAGAATATACTCTGTAATATATCTTTTCATTCAAAGTTTATGACAATACCTGGAAAGCAAGCACATAAAAAATCATGACAGCTGCTGAAAAGAAATTGTTGATAGAACACCTTTACAAACCACAATTTTCTTTTTTGTTATCTTGAGTGATTATGCTAGAAAGCACTAGCTTTTTTTTGGACTTAGAAGATAAAGTATTTTAAAAAACTCCATAAGCACAATCCTTCCTGTGTAAATCCTGTATTATGGAACAAATATTAAAGGAAAAAAATACCTAATCAAACTGTTAAAAAGATGCAATAGCTATCCTCAGTCCTCAGATCCAACATTAATCAATTTT